CAGGCGCAAGGGATCGGAGCGGCTTTACTTCGAAGTGCAGATTTCGTGGCAGGCGTGGCCGGCACAGCACTTTGTGAACCTCGAAGTGCAGATTTCGTGACAGGCGCAGCACTTTGTGAACCTCGACGTGCAGACTTCGTGACAGGCACTGCACTTTGTGCACCTCGAAGTGCAGATTTCGTGGTAGGCGCAGCACTTTGTGAACCTCGATCTGTACTTCAAGGTTCACAATGTGCTGTGCCTGCCACGAAATCTGCACGTGCCTGCCACGAAATCTGCACATCAAGGTTCACAAAGTGCTGCGCCTGCCACGAAATCTGCACTTCGAGGTGCACAAAGCACAGTGCCTGTCACGAAATCTGCACGTCGAGGTTCACAAAGTCCTGCGCCTGTCACGAAATCTGCACTTCGAGGTGCACAAAGTGCAGTGCCTGTCACGAAATCTGTACGTCGAGGTTCACAAAGTGCTGCGCCTGTCACGAAATCTGCACTTCGAGGTTCACAAAGTGCTGGGCCGGCCACGCCTGCCACGAAATCTGCACTTCGAAGTAAAGCCGCTCCGATCCCTTGTGCCTGTCACGAAGTCGACCCTGGACCACGGAAACACGAGGTTTCCCTTGCGCCTGCCACGAAGTGTGACCACCACGTGTAAAAAATGCGCGCCGCACCACAGTCGTTAGAAGCACCCGCCGCCGGCCCCCAGATTCTGCGAGCCTGCGCAGTCGAAATGCACATTGACGATGTCGAGAGACTTGAATGTACTGTAAATAGCAGCGAATTTGCCACACACGCCCGCGCGGCACAGCGATCTAAGCACACCTGCTTTTCCACTACCGTAAGAACCCCTAGTGTGTCCACACTGTTTGGTGAAAAAAGAGTTAGTTATATATTAAGACTTTGCTTCTCTTCCGTGCAGTAGTAGAAGCTTCTGCCTTTTCCACCTCCAGAGTCTCTGCCTCCTGGCAATCTTCGTATTCCATCCCAAATCAAGTAGCATTGGAATCCATTCATGAATGGCTTGCCTCTGGCTTGGCTGGCTCACTTGTGACTGCTTCCGCCTGCTACATGACATGTTTTCTTAGGTTTGCTTGAATTATTGTATAGTTTTGACGGAGGCCAAAAACAGTGTCCGTCTCACTTCTTCCAATGTTGTCTTGTAGAATATTGCTTCAAGTTCTGAGGGCAGGTTAGCAATAGAATGAGTGAACCTCATGATAGCGCTTCATGGCACTTGCCTTCGAACAAGTTCTACACGGGCTATCCGAAAACAAATAACTACTTAGACTGCGTTTCAAGGGTTGCACCGTGATTCGCTGGCAGTAAAAAGTATCACAACAAGTGAAGATTAAACAAAACTATATGATCCTGTGCATTAAGCAGCATTCTCGCATAGACATGCTCGTGTCAGCCCACCTCAGCCATGCTTTCAAGGTGAACCACTAAGCTTTGACTCTCAAGCGGGATGCCAATGACTAGGTGAGATATTGGTCACCACCTTGAAACAACCATCCACCACATGTTGATTGCCCAAACCAAATGTGTTTATATACTTTATCCTGTTTGCTTCAAATGCATGCTCGCAACTGTTCATACCCACAAAATCAACTTTCTGAGCCAAATGTGCACTTCAAAGCAAGATCAGCATCCCTTTTGGGACCTCAGGACCTCATGCTTTGTGGCAAGACCAAAAATAGCCACTCGACCAAGGGCCTGCAAGTAAACTGAGAATCAGTCGCTCTTTTTGGGCACACAGGCTCTGAACCCAAGAGGGACTTCTGAGCAAGGCTGAAGCAAAAACCATGCCCAGCTCCGTCTTGGAAGAGGCCATGAGCTCATGAGAAAGCAGCTAAGTGCAAAACTTGGTTGTATTATGTTGTATTTGGAGATGTGAATGAAAGCTTACGTGATCTTAAGTGTTTGTCTGGCGGCCTCTCCACTAGGAGGTCACCCGCCAGTCCACGTCGCAGAGTGTCTTGCTGCCCGCATCTGCCCACTATGCACTTTGCTAATTGTGGGAGCTGATCACCTGACAAAGGGGTGAAAGCAGCAAAACTCTGGTGTGCAGGAACTATCTGCATTGCAAATAGCCCAAAAAGCGAAAGGCGGTCGAATCCAATGCGATGCCGGCCGGCCGTCCAAAGAAAGCCGATTCTATCCACAACCCAGGACATACTGGGACGTATATTCAGCCACGAGCAACTCCGCTCGCACGCTGAAAACCATTTTGAACCGGCTGAAAATCATTTGTAGGAGCAAAGCCAGACCTTGGGGTGTGAGAAGCTAAAGAGCTTTGCAAGCCTGAACAATGCCAGGAACCACTCAAAACTGGGGTCTCCGCTGGATGGTGTCAATAGGGTCCCTTCCCTGAGTGAGTGGCATGTGCTCAAACACAAAAAATGAACCAATACATACCAATACGGTCAACACTCAACGGTGATTGATTGTCATAGTTGAGTTCGCTCAAACCTGGAGCTTAAGTGGGATGGTCTTTGATGGTGTTTGATGGCCCGATTGAACACTTAAGAGAGAGGGACAGAGAGAGAGAGAGAGGGAGGGAGCTCCTCAAAGTCTGACTATACAAAGAAAGTGTGACAGCACAGCTGCTGATAAAAAGCAGCAGCACGAGGTGTGACAATTCTCTTGCTCGACCACAATCGGGGAGGTGAGCCTTCAAGTCTCTCTGTATGTATTTGACTGTGAATGACATGCCACTTGCGGCAAACAAAATTCCGCCGGAACTCCATGCAGCTGCCGTCCCTTACACTCCAGGTGCCGTGCATTATCTGCAATGTGCTCTCGGATAATCTGCGCTAGATTCTTGACCTCACAGAGTCGAGGGGCCGGTTTTGTCTGGTGACAACATGCTTGAAGCGAGCGGTGCAAAACACGTGTGATAGCAAACCCTAATATTGCGGTTGTCTTGGATGGAGGGTATCTATCCGAATCTATATATCCCTGTCGGCTGAGGCTCCCAGCCCAATGGTCGACACTATTCAAACACGGGATTACAACCTTACTGCGACAATTGCATCATGTGAAAACAACACAGAATTGCCTTGGCCCATGTCATAAATGTCATCCCATTTCCCCAGGCCATGGCAAGTTCTTCTCCTCCAGCTTCTCTAAACTCCTCCTGGCCAGTGATGCCCAGCTCCTCCGATCGGAAAAAAGAACTCCAAAGACTTGTGTCTCGCCCATCTGTCATGTCAACTGCCAAATCTCCTCCAAGGTCTCCACGCAGTCTGCTGTGAACGATGGGGCTACAACAGCCAACTTCTTCCTAGACAAATCAAGCAAAAGGGTGCAACTTTAGCATGAATAATTATGCAGCATGCATGAATCTAGAACTTCATGATACTTATACTTTGATATAGTTTCGCCATTGTGGCTTTAACTGAATGAGTTGTTTTGTGTCTTCCTCAATGTATATACGTCTTCAAGTCAAATTCTGGGCTTCCGACACGCCCTTCTTCGCCAATTCCATGAAGGCCTCCAAATTCAGCAAGCGGTCAACGGGGTGGATTTAAGAGGCTCACTTGGTTTCAGATTCTACCATGTACGACCTCCTCTTGAAACCAATTGAAGAATGATAAGAACGAGAACAGTGTCCGTCTTTTGGTTTGCTTTGGGAACTTGTCCGGCACCGCCTCGTCAGTGTATGGTTTAATCCACCTCGAGGTCTCAAGAAGTGCACTCAAGAAGCCGATCGGGCAAGTCACTCAATGTCCGCCAAGCTACTCAATGGTGCCGCGCAGTGTCAGGCGACTCTGGAAGCCAATCGACCTAGAAGCACATCGAAGTTCATGCCGCACGTTAGACAATCTAGGAAGCCTCTTCAGAGCCACTCTAAAAACCTGGAGTCACTCCCTATGTCGTATCACTTTCCTTGCGCGAGGCCTTACACGCTGCTTACGCGGCCCTCACTTTTGCTTACGCAGAGCAAACTTCCGAAATGCTTGCGCGAAATGCTTACGCAATCTTACGCAACCCAGGGTATTGCTTACGCGGAATTCGATATAACAAGGTCCTTACTTAAGATGTAAAGGCAGGTTTTTAGAGCGGCTCGGTTGGGACTGGGCGCTCCACCAACGACCATCCTCCAACCCCAGCTCATAGGCCAACCTAGAGCTTTCAAAAATATACAAACATGTAACATTTACAAACAATCAAAAGAATGCAACGTAAGCGTGACCAATTCCTGATCATTGTGTCGTCAAATTGTGGCAAGGGACAAGCGGGCTGTCTCGAAGCACTGAGCTCGATAACAGTTCCTGCAAGGCAATGCCAACAAAAGGCAAGCAAAAGTGCTTGTGGCCCAAGTATGTCACCCATGTTCCTGTTGTCAGTCTTCACCATGGAGCAGCAGTTTGGACCTTTTGCCAAACGCACATATCATCTTCAAGCGTACAGATTATCAGGCTCTGCAGCTGTTGTATTCAGAAACACGTGTTGTTAGCTAACACAAGAACCATCAATGGGTGCAAAAACATCTGCGGAACCAAAGGCTCAATCAAGGGATCCGAAAATGGGATGCATGCGCACAGAACCTCTTGGAGGCCCACCGAATGGTTTCAATGAGGGCGGTCGGTTCTTTCAAAAGCATCGAAAGGGTTCCATGTTATTTGAACTTGGGCAATTTTCACAGCGCGTCTAATCTGTATCGACCCGATCACTCGAAAGCCATGAACTTCTGTACGAAGAGTTTTGTATTGTGCATGTTGCCAACCGAAAAGATTCAAGTTGTTGCCACATCGGCCTGAGAAATCCAAGCCGTGAACGAGCAAACATTGTCAAATCGTGTGAAAACCCCTGAACTCCTCGCACGGAACTTGAGGCCGAGGGTTGGTAACGAAAGCTAGCAGGGCGGGGGTGAAGCGGGTGACGTCCCAGGGAGGAGTTGAACCCCCGGGGAGCACCCAACAAAATATGAAGTTTTTACCGCGATGCGGCACTCTCTAAGATTCCAGCCCATCATTTGCCAAAGCAAGAACAATTCCAGCTAGCTGGTGTTAGTTTTCGTGATTAGGACGGCATAGTTGTGCAGAACTTGGGTGATTGTTTTGTTTGTTGCCTTTCTCAACGTCGTTTGCAGTTTTTGGAAGAACGAACCACCCGACACGAGAAAAAGTCAAGCAGGGAGGCAGGCAAAAACTATCAAACGGAACCAAGCAAAAAGGACGCAAAAGAAGGAAAAAGAGAAAACAGGACATGAAAGGACAAGGGCGAGGAACACGTGTTGTACTAGTCATCAGTCCCATTCGTATGAATACTTTTCGGGATTGTGCAAAAATGTGCAAAATAGGAGAGTGTGTGCAATCCGGGTCGCGGTTGACACCGGCCACACAGCCACTCAAAATCCTGAGTGGCTGAGTTGCTGCGGTGCACAACCTGAGTGTGTGAGAGGTCTTTTTCCTTTGTGTTCTCCCCTATTATTTTTTAAAGGTGACCTACTCGGTTGAAATGCGTCAGAAGTCCATTCATACAGCGGTCCTGTCATTTGCAGTCGCTCGTCCTTGGGTTGAGGCTGGCATGAAATCGTATTGCTTGGTTTCTTAATGAAGGAGTCCTGAGGAATACAACATACTTTTCAATGGGGAGTTCACTACATGGGCCCTTAGCGTACATAAAATTCACCCGAAGCAAAGCCCCGATTGTCACCGCAGGACTGAACTTGTCCTGGAATCATCAAACACGCCGGTGATTCTTAAAGGGCTCTCCAACTTCATGCCGGAAACTATCGTAAAAAATCTGCTCCTAAGAACATCCGCAGGGAGTTCAAATCTCGTCTGGAGTCATTCTGCGGGCGCATGAAGAAAAAACAAGGTGAAGGAGATGCAGAGCTAAAGGGGCCCAAAGTGCTTGCAAAGGCGTTGGAGACATTGGTGCAGCGTGGCAGCACGGTATCCTCGAGGAAAGAAAAAACGGAAGAAGGAGCACCCAGTGTCACATGTCAGCAAGCGGATGCGGAGCGACGTTGCGGGCAATCCGCAGGCATTAGACTAGTCAACGCAGCAGCGCCGAAGAGCGTCCAGAGACAGGCGCCGCTGGTGGAAGGCACGCTGCCGTTTTTTGGTTTTCTTCTAAATCATTTTGAACAAATCAGAAACTGGAAAGATTGACCAGGATTTGAACATCGACGCACTCCCGGCGACATTGGGCGCCGACGGAGTGCCACTTCAGTATCTTTATGGGCTCCAAGGACTTGATCGTTCCTGTGGGGCGCGCTGGTTGCAAGCGCGCCGCGGGCTTGAAAAATTGATTTGGCCCCTTTTCCGCGTTCATGGGATCTTTTCTCGATCTCTTGAGGCTTTTGAGGTGTTTGTCGGGGTTTGAGGATCCATTTGCGCGCGAAGATCTATCTCTTGTGCTTCCTGCTTGGGCGAAGCGTTTTGCGCAAACGTGTTGCGTAAAAGCTGTCAGACCGACGTCTGGTGTCTGCAAGGCTGGTCGCTGGTCAATCCACTCGCCCTGCACTCGGCGCACAGGCTCGCCAACAGTGAACGATCACCGTGGCACGTGCGGCGTGCATCGGAATGGCATAGCCACGTGGAGCTGCTATCTCACGTTGGCAAAGACCTAGGAAGAGAAGGCAAACGAGCGCGCTACAGGTCGCTGAACCAATGACTCTATTGCCACTGGAAGGTCACTTCCGGATGTTGATGGTTGGCACCTGGAGGTCACCAAGAGCCACAGTCTCTGCTCAACTCGGGTGATTCATCTACATCCCTTCAGCTTTAGACATCAAACCGTAAACGGGAAGCTCATCGGCAAAAGCTTTGAGGCGAACTAGGGTACCACTACTGCAACCACCATTGTTATTATTACTATTACAACTACTTGGGTCTATCCTATTACCTGTAACAGTGGACGATGATGGTTCGTAAAGGCCTTGCTCAAAAGTGATGATAATTGTTTACTGACTGCTACAGGTATTAGGACAGACCCTATTACTATTACTATTACTAGTATTACTAGTACTACTACTACTACTACTACTACGAGTACGACTGCGACTACGCCTACGCCTACCGCTACCGCTACCGCTACCGCTACCGCTACCACTACCACTACCACCACCACTGCTACTACTACTACTACTACTGCTACTACTACTACTACTACTAATCACTACCCCAATTGTAAGTTACATTTGTCTATGCGGAGGGCCTCAAAAAATGTAATTACATTAACTTTGAGGTGGCCTCAAAAAAGATAACTTACAATTTTGAGGCCTCACGGGTGATTTCCTGGGAAATGATTTCAAACGTGTAAATTACATTTTTGAGGCACGGTGGGGCGCTTACATTTTTTGACCCCCCCCTATTGCATCAACAAAGAAGAACAGGAAACACACCCAGAGCAAACTGCCAAGAAACAGGAACATACATGTTCCCACTCAAGACCCCAAAGGCAGGCAACAAAGCGAAGCCCAAACATAACAAAGGATCATCCACATGCTACACAAAGGAGAGGCCATTCTAATCTTGCACAGCTGCCCGGCCTATTGTGCAGGAGAGCAAGGATACTCAATGCTGTTTGATCCCCTCGTTGCTTGCCCCCTGCTTGCGCTTCGCGGAGTCGCTTGTGTGTGTGATTTTCAATATGATATGTTAAAATGTAATTAACTCAGGGGGACACCCCAGTTCCTGGAAAAAACTGGGGGAGTTGGGCGTGTGGCAAAAACGTAAATTACAATTTGTGAGGTCAAACTTTCTCACATAACCCAGGTATTCCCTACAAAATCTGAGGCTTTGGATGCATGGACTAATTGTAGGTTACAATGTTTGACGTCTGCAAATCTCACCTTTTGCCTGCATCCGACAGGCAACGCACAGGTGGGGGGGCCCGGGGCGAGTTAACAACAATGTAAGTTCAGGCCTGCCAGGTTGCAAGTGACATTTTCCAGACCCCCCTCCACCCCGTCGATCTGCCGACGCACCCCGGGGGGGTTGTAAAATGTAGGTAGGCACGTGCCAGGCCACAAGTTACTTGTTTTTTGGACCCCCCCTCCCCCCTTTACCCGTTTCGATGGTGCCTGGGGGGGGTAAGTTACATTTTTAGACCCCTAGGGACCCACCCTAAAATGTAACTTACTTTTTTGAAGTCCCCCCTCCCGGAAATATCTTCGGGGGTAGGGATCTACTACTACCTACTACTACTACTACTACTACTATTACTGCCACTGCTACTGCTACTGCTACTCCTACTACTACCACTACTGCTGCTGCTGCTACTACTACTACCACCACCACCACCACGACTACAACTACAACTACAACTGCAGGATCTACACTGTCAGCCACTCAGTCAGTCAGGATCCACACTGCCAGCCACCAAGCCATCTTGAGTGGCTGAGTGGCTGGAAGAAAATCCACAGCCCTTGTCATGTTTCGAGACATGAGGTTGGGCATGCAAGGGGAGATGAACAATGAGAGGAGACAAACTCAACAGAGGGGAGGAAGTAGAAGTGAGGAACAGAACCCTAGCCATGGAACACTGAAGGAAGAAAGGAACATCTTTAATTGAGACTTCCGAACCTACGGCGTGGCCTCTAGAAAAGATTAGAACACACACACAGTGACATACAGGAGCACATAAACGCATGAGGCTCAATTCTTGCTGGCAGGCGCACTCTTATTGCAGAAGTTCTTGGAGATGTCAGTTCGAGAACATTGTTCCTGCCAATCGTAAGGACAAACTGGCCCAACTGTGATTGCTCGTAGAATGTCCAAGTCAAAATGTACAAAGTCTCAGATGTCTATTTGCTTCTTGGCTTTGCACCTCCGGCACTCCGTGGAAGCTGAAGAGCGTATGTTCTACGTTCTTGCCCTCGACAAAAACACTCTGGAAGGCCGGCCAGTGGGGTCGTCGAAGAACCGGAGTTTAACAACTCCCAAACGGTTTTTTACATGTAAAATAACGACCTTAACAACTCCCAAGCCACTCGTTCACCAATGGTCTCCAGGATCTGCTTCTTCATTGCTGCAACATATAGGCGGTGGCCTCGCCGCTTTCGACTTCTTCAACTGTTTTTTCCACCAAACATGTGTTGCACAAGTGACAGTACGCAAGTTCACCGTTTGAGCATTTCTGATCCAACTGTCAGTCACGCGACCATAGAAAGGTGGAAGAACTGAGATGAACGGCGTACAGTACCTCGTCAAGTCCAATCGTGATTGCCAAACGTTCTTTCTGAAATGAGAAAAAAGAGCTACGTTAAACAAAAAACCTGTGCCTCCATCAAACAAGGACATCTCAGGAACATCTTAGTTGTAATGTTTGGTAAACAATACGTTGAATCATACAAATTCTTTAGCGCACAGGAAAGTGAACAATGTGCGCATGTTACTTGCTCTCTCTCTCTCTACATATCTATATATATATATATTCTGGGTGCAAAGGGTTTGATCTTTGACTTTCATCTCGGCGCACAGCTCCGCAGCTGTGCGATAAGCACCAGCCAAACAGCTGCCAGTGGTGCCAGACGCGTAGTGCGGAAACATCGGGACCAGGACTGGCGCGGTGTGAAGTGATTCAACAAATATGCAGGGGGCTCTAAGGCTCCTTGTGTCTGCAAGCACTACAGTATTTGCGCACGATGATTTTTTGATTCGACTCGTGGCGCATCGTTTTGGTTCTGGCGGATTGCAAAGAAGCCCTGCAATCCTCCCACAGCAAACAGTCCTAGCATGTCCTAGCAACGCTCGAAGATCTTGTAGAGCTGATCCAAAGATACGAGGTCCAAAACAGTTCCATCCTTCGTGAAATTTGTTGGCCATTTGCATAGCCCCTTTCGAACAGCTTCGTGAAGCCATCGAAGACCCTGCAACTCTTGAGGGCTGGTACGAGGTCGCTTGGTAGCAGCAGCAGCAACATCTTCGAATTCCCCAGCTGCAACAGCTGCGTTCCAAGCATCGGTGGCTGCCCTTGAAATATCCACAGACGGGCTGGGTAGCAGAAGGTCAGCGCAAAAGTCTGCTATGACTTGACATATACCATCTAAGCAAGACTTCTCGTCACTCCAATCAACCTCACTGCATAGTCTTACTAAACAGAGTGGGAAACTGTCAAAGCAACATCCAACATCTGAGCTCAGACCCAAGCCATTTGGAATACTTTTCAAGAATCCGCGCCGCTGTCGTGGTTGTGAGCTTACACCATTTGTTTCCTCACTTTCGACTTTGACTTCCTCAATCTCAAGCATGAAATACTCCCTGAGTAGGTCAGCCTTTTCGAGCAACAGCATTTCAAAACGTCTTTCCAAAGAGACCATATCCTCATGAGCATGAAGGTTCTCGTCGTAACCTGACTGGGGATCTCTCAGGCCCAACTTCATCAAGTCAGATAAGGGTAAAGGCTCCTCTAATGTCATGCAGCCAAAGCCGCCAATCAACCTGGAGTGTGGGGGCGCAAACCAAAAAAACGGATTGAAGCTAACCATACCTTGGCAGGGTTGCCTCTTGTTGTTTGCATTGGGGAGGCCATGATCCATCAATACCTTAACTTGGGACGGGAAGCAAAAGTCAAAGCAAACATGTAAGTGATGCAAGCGGAGAATTATACCCCAAAAAGGAGGCCAGTTGATTCTGTCATGCGAAGTGGGGGGGAACCTAAGTAGTGATGATATTTTCTTTAAAACGTATCAACAATTCAAGCCCTTCCCCAGCAAACCTCTTGGTCAAGGGCCGGCTCGGCAACTACAACCGCCGACTCGGCAATTCAAACTGCTGATTTCGGCAGCTTTAGCATATGGACAAGCAGAACAAGGCTCGTAGTGCACTTGGGCGGTAGCACGCCATGCGTTGCGCGCTTGCCGTCTATATCTGCAAAGTTTATGACGCTTCAGCGGACCGAGCGACTAGACCCAGCAGGTGTCTCGCCAGCGTGGCGTACTGATGCCTCGCCCGAACTTGCACGGCCCTGTCGGGTGCAAATGTTTACAGTATCAATCTTTGACGGCCTTAGTAGGCGCAGATCTTGACGCTCGACGCCGCACCGCAATTTCACGCAGGCGGCCTGTGACCTTCCCACTTAGTGACAGCACTCCTTGAACGCGGGCCTCGATTCTCTACAAGCGGTGTTATCCGTCGAAAAGCCCATCTCGCGATTGAGCGCCTTCCCAAAATCCCGGCGTTGCAAGCCACATTGATGTCGCCAAGGCCCTGGCCGCCCCCAGACCCCTGGTTGCCCTCTTTCTTTCAAACGTCATGTCCTCAGATCCTTCTGTTTGACCACGCAAACGCAAAAATCTAATGGATAGGTTTGTCGCATGTCATGTCACATCTGTATGACTTATCATTTTGTGCACATATCTTCAAGCACATCTCAACATGCCCAAAATATACTATACGACTTCTGATGTCAATCAGGTTTTGACCTTCTCAAAGGATCCCCCTGAAAAGAAATTGTCGTTGAAAAATGAATTCTGGAGAATTATTTCGACACTTTGGATGGATAATTTATTCGTGCTCAATTATGTTTATTACGGGAATGTCGGTTGCTTGCACACGGTGTGCAGGTGGTGTTCTGAACCAGTTCGATTGAATGTCGCGTTTGACTGTGAAGAACCTGTGATGGTGGTTCTGGTGGCTTTACATGATAATGTTTATCAATCTTGAAAAGTTATGAAAACTTAAGCAGTTCTTTGGATTGGGCATGCTTGACAAACTCAAGGGAATGAGCCTAAGCTCCGCGAGAGTCATTCGATTAGCGGTGGGAAGCAACTTGAGTACGATGACTGCATAGGATGCAAAGTAAAGTTCCACACAGTTCGGCTTCGAGTGCTTTCAACTCGGAATGTCCCAAGCATCCTAGACCAAGCCATAGAACAGTCCGAAAGTGTTTGCTTCCAAATCGATCCCATATGGATTGTGGGCCAGTGGATGCCTTGCACGGATCCATATGTTACACTGGTTACGGTTGCACTATGTTACACTCCTAAATTAATAGTTTTAAAAGCACAAGCTTGCTTTCAAAGGGCGCCTCAATAGCCTCTGGTAGGCGCACTCTCGGGCCAGAATTGCTAGATTTGCAAGGCACAAAGAGGCTCCGCATTGCAAAAGAACCAGTTCGTGGTTGACAGGGCCAACGTAGATCGACTGGTTGAGCAGGGTTGAAAACTTCTCATCGCAGGCCAAATCAACTGCTTTTCGTAGCTCTTCAACAGACGTAAGTTGCTGAGCTTCCTCAAATGCTGCCATCCGATCAGAGTCTACAACCTCAAAGCCAGCTTGTGTTGTGGGTGCATCTGCTCCAGCTCCTATCTGCATGCCCTGTGAAGCCTGCGATTCACGAAAAATGGTTTCCAAGGACATCTGACGATGGTCTGTGCGAACGCGAGTTGGGTTTGGTACCTGTCGTCTTTCCACCTTGTCCTTGTCTGATGTGTTGACATCTTTGGTCTCCACAGGAAGTGTAAAGGTGCCACGTGCAGGGGATGGAAGGACACTTGCAAAGCTTCTTGCACTACCCGCGCTGCGTAGCTGTGACGCCAGAGTTTCCTGAAGCCTTTGAGAGATTGTCTCCTCATGTAGAAACTGCACCTCCATTTTGGTGGGATGAACGTTCACATCAATGGTCGTGGGATCTACATCCAAGGCCAAGTAAACCCAAGGATGTTGGTGACGTGGTAGCACTGGTTGATAAACTGCTTCCACTGCACGCTTCAAGGACGCTGACTCTACGAGGCGATTGTTGATGAACAGAATCAACGTAGAAACCCTACTAGAATAGTTTGGATTCGATGCAAAGCCTCGACACGAGAAGCGTGGTTCTTCAGACTTAACGTCAAAAGCGAACAGCTCCTGAGCCAAGTTCTGACCCCAAATGGTTGCAATCACCTCGCTAGGGCTGCTCCCTCCCAAAGTGGTGAGTTCAAACGAACCGTTGTACTTCCGACAAGTGAAGCCAACATTTGGATAGTGAATGGCATAGCGTTGAACCACTTCTAGCACTTTGGAGTGCTCAATGCTCTCTTTGCCCAACGCCTGTCTGCGTGTTGGATTGTTGTAGAACATATTCTCCACTACAAGAGTGGTGCCCGGAGTTCCTGCACAGGGCCTGACTTGCCCTTGCAGTTTGCCTTCACTGTAGGTCGCAAGGTTGGCACACGTATCAGTACTTGTCATAGTGGTAACCGTGACGTGCGCCACGTGGCTTATTGATGCCAAAGCTTCACCCCGGAAGCCAAAGGTTCCAATGCTGAGAAGGTCTTCATACTTTTGGAGCTTCGAAGTTGTAAAGCGTTCGCAAAGGATAGGCAAATCATCTGCGCGGATACCATGCCCGCCGTCTTCTATTCGAAGCATCTTTAGACCTCCACACTTCACCATGATGACAATTCGCTTACTGCCAGCATCCAAGGAATTTTCAATCAGCTCCTTTAGCGCATTGGCTGGTCTCACCACAACTTCCCCTGCAGCAATGCGATTGATCACCCCTTCCTCAAGCTGGATGATGCGACGCACCTCTTCAGAGACTTCGGGAACTCCTTCTCTGCCATTCATGGTAGCTGAAGTGCTCGACAATACGTATAAAGAATGTAAACGGGGATTGAGATGAGCAAGTGCATACACAGTATTGAGCGTCATTTTGTTCCTTTTGAGCAAGAATGCCCCACACTTCATGAGGGTTATGCCATATGCTACCTTGTGATAGGAAACTTGCTTTGCCTTCTCTAGATACCTCCTCTCTCTGTGACTTTGAACCAAGGGGAGGCATAGCATAGCAGAAAATGCAGGGTCAGTTGGTGTGGTGTAGCTTGATGCTTATTTCGGCGTAGATTCAACAAAAAAGTGACCGCAAGAATTCTTGGGGGAGTGCCATCAAAGTGAACGCTAGAAAGGCTTCTTCCTACACCTTCAATATATAGGTGATGTCGCTTGGTCTTGGGCCTTGCAAAGGTCCTCCAGATGTCCTCCCTGCCTACATTGTCCACGCCAGACTCCGCCAAATCTTTCAAGGACTCGCCAACCGTGGGGCTCGAGTACTGGCAAAGAGAGAAAGCAAAAATCAAAACTGGTTGTCTTTGCAAAGCAAATCTCACTTCCCTCGGCACCTGCATTCCAATGCGCACTTCGAAGCGCTTTCCCAGATCCTGCCCAAAATCTGACCCTTTCCTGAATCCGCTCCGAGAGTTTCAGGACCAAACAAATGACTAACACGATGGCCACAAAATGACCTGGATATCACCCACTTATATACATGATACCAAAAGGAGCGAGTCCCAAACTTCTTTATACTTCAAATGTGGAGAAGAAATGGGTTGGAAGCGTTAAAGTTCTTGATAGCTTTTGCCAAAGCTGGAGTGGGCAAGGGAAAAGTAAGCCTCAGGTAAATGCCAACGCAGTGCTACACAAAGCTCAATTCAAAGGTCTGTGTTGGTTCTTTCTGCAAGTATGCAAACTTGTCCAAGTTCAATGTTTGGCTCCTCTTGGAGGCCTTCGGCCAAATCCAGGGAGTGGAAAAGCAATGGTGATCCTCTGACCGGGTCCTCATGCAAACTGCACGGATGCATGTGACACCCTGTGACAGGCTCCTACAACTTCCACTTGGCACTGTAATAATAAGGTTTGTTGCATGCTTGACGGTTTGACATGCATCAAACGCACCAACCACATCAAGGGCCAAGCCCAAATCTTCTTGTAATTTGCAGCCGAACTTTTGGGCCTCCAAAGTGATGAGAAAACAATTACAGTAGAAACAATTAGAAACAAATCAGCGAATTGTTTAAATCAGCGTTGCGTGGATTCAGTACGCATGTTCAACACCGTTCAACACCCATTGCCCGAAACTGTGCCTGGTCAACAACAAGGCCTGAGCATATCCCACAAGTGAGACAAGCAAATGCACTGCACAGCAAATTGCCTTTTTTACACACGGTGCCTGCAGCACGAGCCATTTCAACAATGGAGGCCTTGGCCGAAGGCATCCAAGTATTGCTGCAAGATTTCCTATGGTCTTGTCAGGCTGAGGCTCTGACTGGATCTCAATAACTCGGTCATCAGCCAAGAATTTCTCTAGGTATTCACGCACATCCTCAACCTGTGCGCGTTCAAGGCGGGAACCCCTTTCCACGGCTGCGCAATCTGGCTCAAGCCCCTCAGCCTTCTTTCCCAAAAACCAGCACTTGGAAACTGAACATGCTTGTTGCGTCTACAGCATGGCCTCTGTGGAGGCTGGGGTGCCAATGTTCAAAAGCAAGACCTCTGCGTAGGTTGGGCACACGCACAGACAGCAAATGCTTCCACGACTGTTGTAATATCTAAACTAGAGTCACTAGAGCTAGACTAGACTATTCAGTAATAAATATATAATACATATACAGTATATGTATATATATATATTGTAATGGTCCAACATGCCCGTCATTCATTGTATGCCCCCTGTTCGGCATGGGCCCTCCAACCCCTCAAGCTAGCAGCAAATCTGGCACACATGTATATATATATATAAAATCCCCACAAATTAAGAGGGGGGGACGTCCAAAAATGTAACTTACATTTTCCTATGTTTTCGGACCTCAAAAATGTAAGCTTACATTTTTTTTTTGGACCTCAAAAATGTAAGCTTACATTTTTGAGGTCCCCTGGTATTCAGGGGGGTATTCAGGGGGACCTCAAAAATGTAAGCTTACATTTTTCCCTTGTCATAGGAAAAATGTAAAATCTCCATGCTGACGTATGTCGAAGTACGCAAACAGCCTGCAAATGACATGCCAAACATTCTCAGAGCTTCTTTTCCTCTCTGCTTCTGGTTTGTGCATTGCATCAAGCCGTATTTTACAGCAAGCTTTTCACCTGCCCCTTCCATAGCTTACATGTTTCATTTGGGTTTCACCGTTTACCTTCCAGACATTCTTGGCCTATTGTTCTAGCTTTCACTCGCCACCAAGCTATGATCTACTACGCAGCTGTGCACTCCCCAGCGTCTTTAGATGTTTTGAGATTACATTGACATTCATGGTATTTTACAGCAAGCTT